ATTTATGAGAATATCAACAACTCATTTTGCAATTCATACCACTACTTCCAACGACCAATATATCATATTAAGTAAAATGTATAGTGTATTAGCAAATCACACATTAGTGTATCTTTATATGGGGGCAGCGAGGGTATAGCCGAATAGTCGAGGGTATATAGTGCTGGATTAAGACGGGGGTTTCAGGGGGCTCCACCCCCCAGGGGACCGGGGCAGTAAAATAGCTGTAATTTGCATATCACAGTTTTCAGTTTAAAGTATAAACATATCTACCCATCACAGACAATTTATGCTCGGCACTTTCTTATCGCATTGAACCGTATAAAATGTTCATTCATTATCTGCCTTCCTGGTCGACTTTCCAACAATGAATAACGAAGACATTTCAACAACCAAGTTTCAGAAGATTTATTCGGGTGACATCGAGCCTGAATGTGTGTGTCAGAAATTCTTCACTTCAGGAACTGTCTTGGACAATATGACAAACTCGGGCACAAGTATGACACACTGCGAGCTTCTGATATCTGCGCCCTGGTGGTAATAGTAGTAGTAGTAGGCATCCATCAGTCTCAGGAGACTATGGAGTTGCGCTCTGGTTGTCGGTCTGGAGTGGCCTCACCAGGGTAGGTTGATTCGGGGAAGAAGCTGTTACCCAGGCAGCAGGTCCTTCCGCGTCATTATTCCCCAATGCTGAAGTAGCACTAGGGATTTACTAGTGCTTAACGACAACTAATGCGACTTAAGAGGAGTTTCTCCAAGACGAAACGTCTAAAGGAGAAACTCCTTTAGACCGACGGTAGATAGCACAACGGTATATAACACAGGTAGATAGGTAAAACAGACCGACGATAGCACAAGAATTACAAAGCAGACTTCCCTCTCGTGGCAGTTGAAAACGTTCTCCAATACCTTACAATTTACTGATGAGAGATTTGTATTCAAGAAATTACGCAAAGCAAGTATCTAAATTTAAATTATTGTTAGCCTAGTAAAATTACATTTAAAATTTTCTTTCCGTTTTCCTTCTCAAAAAAATATTACTGAGGGGTCTCCTGGTTGATACCTGGTTGGTCTCAGTGTACCAGTAGCCTCAAGATGTTGCAATGCCCTCCCCTCCTCCCCCCCCCCCCCCCAAGTAAGGAGCAACCAGGCATGCTTTTAAATAATGTCTTGTGCAACCTCACTTCAAGGTAACCCCTTCCACGGTCGCACACTTCACATTCAACACTTTTATCACACACTAGAATGTGAAGGGACGACGACGTTTCGGTCCGTCCTGGACCATACTCAAGTCGATTGTGAATGCACATACACAATCGACTTGAGAATGGTCCAGGACTGACCGAAACGTCGTCGTCCCTTCACCTTCTAGTATGTGGTCTGGTCATCATACTTTAGCCACGGTATTGTGACTCATCGCCTGCACTTTTATCCCGCCTTGCTCTCTGGGGTATGGGATCCAAAACTGCATTTATTAAATAATATAACGAACATTTTCTTAAACGTGCAATTAAGTTATTATTTTTGTTTATTATGCAAACTCTTTTAAGGCCATTGGCCCCTTTTTCCATATAGCGTCCATAGTTTAGTTAGTTTAGCTCATTTATTATGCACCCCATACCCAACTTGTGGGCGGTAGTGGAAAGGGTTACAGAGGCACATAATGTTTGGCTCAGGGACTCAACCCCACAATTCATTTAGCTAAGCAAGTTACACTCTTGATGAGCTAGTTACAAAATTCAATATAAGTCGTCACATCAACCTTATTAATGGCTTCTTACACTGAGTATGAAACAAAAATGTTAGCGACATAACCCACCAGCTGGGTATTTCCCCTCTACGTGTGGTGCCCTCTGGTGTCATGCCCGGTACACTCTCGCAACTTAGGTCGCCCTATATATTGCAAAATGGCCCGAGTTTACACAAGAGCGGCCCCAGTTTACACAACAGCGGCCCCAGTTTACACAAGAGCGGCCCCAGTTTACACTAAAGCTGCCCCAGTTTGCACAAGAGCGGCCCCAGTTTACACAAGAGCGGCCCCAGTTTACACAACAGCGGCCCCAGTTTACACAACAGCGGCCCCAGTTTACACAAGAGCGGCCCCAGTTTACACTAAAGCGGCCCCAGTTTACACAACAGCGGCCCCAGTTTGTGAGCCAATGCTCTACATCATTTACTCGCCACAATTTGATATATATTTAAAACGTACAACTAAGTATATGGCACCAGTTTACTTCCTGTTTAAATCATTATATCGAGAAGATCTTCAATGACTACAGGTGAAATAGGACGTGTATACTATAGTCAATACAAGGTACAAGATCACATCAATTAAGCTTCTGGAATACCTCAACATATATTATACTAAGAGAAAGGTTTATTCTTCAGGACACAATTGTAGGAGCAAAAGGATAAAATCACTACGTTCTTTCCCTTCCTTCAATCTCCTTTGACACTCCCTCCCTCATGCTCTCCCTCCCTTGCTATTGCCGAGCTCCAGATTTGCTCTAAGCCCGCAGCCCGGTGGATGGCCAGGCTTTTCCTGGCACTAACTTGATCAACATGGCTGTTTGGCCTGAGGGCCCGCAGGCTCACACATTGCTTTACACATACCAGACGCTGCCTCCCGTGCATTTAACAATGGACGAGTTCCAGAAGCCTTCAACTGCTGCAGACTTACCAGGCTTTCCCACTGGACGAGTTCCAGAAGCCTTCAACTGCTGCAGACTTACCAGGCTTTCCCACTGGACGAGTTCCAGAAGCCTTCAACTGCTGCAGACTTACCAGGCTTTCCCACTGGACGAGTTCCAGAAGCCTTCAACTGCTGCAGACTTACCAGGCTTTCTCTTTGTGTTCGCCTGGTTTTCGAGGCTGTCTTTGTAGCTCTCAGGATCTACTCGGAGACCCATTACAGCCAGATCGATCTGGTAACCTCAGGGTAAACCCGTCAAGTTCCTTGTTGTAAACTTCAGCTGTTCTTCCACCGACATTCCTTATATTTGCTAGCAGGAGATTGAAGATGATCACTGTGTGATCTACTCGGGCCTATAGAACCATGAATTCCCATCGGAACTATCGTTATACATTCTCCTGCGATATGTTTCCCCCTCTCTGGCGACTGACAGCTGAGTGGACAGCGCTTTGGATTCGTAGTCCTGAGGTTCCGGGTTCGATCCCCGGTGGAGGCAGAGACAAATGGGCAAAAAGTTTCTTTCACCCTGATGCCCCTCTTACCTAGCAGTAAATAGGGCCCAGATTCACGAAGCAGTTATGCATGCATTTACGAACCTGTACTTCTTTTCTCCATTTTGGGCGGCTTTGTTTACAATTATTAAACAGTTAATGAGCTCCGAAGCACCAAGGGGCTGTTTATAACAATAACAACAGCTGATTGGGAAGTTTTCGTGCTTGTAAACTGTTTAATAAATGTAACCAAAGCCGTCCAAGATTGAGGAAAGATGTACACGTTGATAAGTAATTGCGTAACGGCTTCGTTAATCTGGCTCTAGGTACCTGGGAGTTAGACAGCTGTTTCGGGCTGCTTCCTGGGGGTGTGTAACAAAAAGGAAGCCTGGTCGAGGACCGGGCCTCGGAGACGCTAAGCCCCGAAATCATCTCAAGATAACCACTAGTCTTCCTCTACCTGAGACGCCAGCCTCAAAGATCACTGGCACAGTAGTAACTCTCCAGCAAGAGGAGAGCCTATACAACGGGCTCACCATAGCCCGTGCTACTTGGAACTTTTTGTTCCAAGTAGCCCCCAGACACTGCTAGTGTTGCTCATAATATAGCCCCCAGACACTGCTAGTCTTCCTCATAATATATCCCCAGCTAAGAGGACATTTTACGCAAGTAAATATTATTTGATATTTTACAACAAGAAATATGACTAAACCGTGATTCTGGACAAGAAAATAAACGTATGTTTGTCTAGGGGGTGAGAAATACCTTAGATCTATACATTTTGTGACTATTTACATCCCCAAATAACTTTCAAAACCGATCCCTTATACGAATAGACTAAGAAAATATGATTTTCCAGAAATGTACAGGTATTATAAATGCCACCTGTCTTCATACTTGAGTAAAATACAATCTGAAATACATGTAAATCATGTATTACAATCATGTAATACAATCATGTAATACAATCATGTAATACAATCATGTAATACAATCATGTAATACAATCATGTAATACAATCATGTAATACAATCATGTATTACAATCATGTAATACAAAATGTTGCCAATTGCACGAGCATCAACACGCTATCAGAGAAGTTGCACAATTGCACATGATGTGAAGAGTTCAAGTATGCGGAGGTTATGGTACAACCCGTTTTCGCACTTTCGTATAGTCAATATTGACTTATTAAATACGTGCATATGTGACATACTAAACATACTAGTTTACCTTGAAAAGCTTCATAGAAAACACCGACCTTACCTAACCTTCTTAGTATGTTAAGATAAGCATCTTATTGCTTCGTAATTACAATTATTACTTAACCTATTATAGGTATAGGTATATACCTTATTAAATACGTGCACATATGCACGTATTTAATAAGTCAATAATGACTAAGAAAGTGCGAGAACGGGTTGTATGGTAGGTGGCCAGCCATAGAACATCATAGCCGTCTTAATTTCACACTTAGGGGATATTCATGCCCGTGCAAATTGATTGGTTGAAGATCAAACCGCCAATCAAGATAGATTGATGACGATTTAGCCACTCAAGACGTGGCACGGGCATGAATAGCCTGCAAATGCCCGTGCCACTTCTTGGGTGGCTTAATCTTCATCAATCAATCAATAAATCAATTAGTTTGAGAGTTTATAACGTGTGTGTGTTGAGAAGGTGTGTGAGCAGTTACAGCCCCGCTCCTGTGCCAGGTAAGTCCACTACGGGCTCACCATAGCCCGTGCTACTTGGAACCTTTTGTTCCCAGTAGCTGAATCTATAACAACAACGAACGAGGTGGGAGAGTACTCACCCAGACTTAGAGGTGGGAATGTTTGGGTCACTGTGCTTCCTGTTCTCTCTCGTCCGTTTCTGGAATATATGACAAAACCATTACAAATAATAAGTGATAACAATAACTAGAATTACAATGAATTATTCATACATTATATAATATATATATATATATATATATATATATATATATATATATATATATATATATATATATATATATATATATATATATTACACACACACATATTCCAGTTGTTTAATCAACTGGGTTAATCAATAATCCAGGTCACATGTAGATATGATAGAGCCCAGTAGGCTCAGGAATCTGTACATCAGTTGATTGACGGTTGAGAGGCGGGACCAAAGAGCCAGAGCTCAACCCCCGCAAGCACAACTAGGCGAGTACACACCTAGTGTACTGGTCGGGCCTGGTCAAGCCTAATAGCCTGGTCGAGGACCGGGCCGCGGGGACACTAAAGCCCCGAAATCATCTCAAGATAACCACACACAAACCCACCAATAACCTCACCGTTCTAGACGAGGAAAATACCTTCCAGTATTTACCATGAATATACTATGTACACACACAAATCACGATTGCGTGATGCTCAGTCGATTAAGGCAGCGTCTGGGATGCTCTCGGACGCAGGTTCGAATCCTCGTCACGGCCCTTGTGGTTTGGTTCATATAATATGCATCTCTGTTCCGAGAGGTACAGATAGAATTCTTCCAGGAGACCTCAGTAGTCCTGGAAGACAAACTAAACCACACAGGAGAGACGTATGTACGTTGGTTGTGATAAAGTAAGTTAGAACTATACACTGCAGGGGCCAGATTCACGAAGCCGTTACGCAAGTACTTACGAACTTGCACATCTTTCTTCAATCTTTGACGGCTTTGGTTATATTTATTATACGGTTTACAAGCATAAAGACTTGCCAATCACTGTTGTTATTGTTATAAACAGCCTCCTGGTGCTTCGGAGCTCATTAACTGTGTAATAATTGTAATCAAAGCCGCCAATTGAGAAAAGATGTACAGGTTCGTAAGTGCTGCATAACTCCTTCGTGAATCTGGCCCCAGAGATTCTACTGTGATGGCAATAGTGTTCCAGTCTCAGAGAGCAGCAGTGACATCCCTTGTACTGAAGGTACCCATAATCCTCCCTATCATTCTTCTGGACGCTGTGACGGTTACTTTATTGTGCTCTCTAAATGTCACTTCCTCTGACATCATTACTCTTAGGTCTCTGAAGGTGTAACTACGCTCGAAGAATGAATATTCCTCGTGTACTGCCGGAGTAACCGTTACCTTGAGGTTACCTTGAGGTTACCTTGAGGTTACCTTGAGGTGCTCCCGGGGCTTAGAGTCCCCGCGAGTCGACCAGGCCACCGTGGACACATTCAAGAGAAAACTAGATAGTTTCCTCCAAGGAGTGCCGGACCAACCGGGCTGTGGTGGGTATATGGGTCTGCGGGCCGCTCCAAGCAACAGCCTGGTGGACCAAACTCTCAAGTCAAGCCTGGCCTCGGGCCGGGCTTGGGGAGTAGAAGAACTCCCAGAACCCCATCAACCAGGTATTCTGTATGAATTTTAGGGTATTTTTTTTTCTATGCCGAATTGGAATTTGTCACCAGTAAACATCTCGTTATATTGAGACTGGAAATAGCGAGTTTACTACGGGCTCACCATAGCCCGTGCTATTTGGAACTTTTTGTTCCAGGCAGCAAATCTTAAACAACAACAACAGCCTTAATTTAAGTACTTTTCATACTTATCATGATATCCTCGTCTTATCATGATATCCTCGTCAAACATACAATGAAAAAGAGGGTTGACTGGTCATGACCTTTATGAATATGATGACCTCCGGTACAAGGACAGTACCTGTGCTAGAGGTCATTTTTAGAACGGCATTTCGTTTTTTTTAACCAAATTCCCTTCAGAGCCTTGCATGCCGGCAGAGAAAATGACGCTTCACATACTTTGTTTGTGTAAACATTACTGATCTAACTCTTGTATGCCTTTATATTCAACCAAAAATAGTTAGCTGTCACCTAGGACTACATTACAAGTCCTTGTTCCCACTAGGGGATACGAAATTGACATATAATACAGTACATTTATAGGCAGTAAATTTTAAACAACTGGAATATGTTAAACTACCACATAACACGTACCATATGCAGGCGATGAGTCACAATAACGTGGCTAAAGTATGTTGACTAGACCACACACTAGAAGGTGAAGGGACGACGACGTTTCGGTCCGTCCTGGACCATTCTTGGAATCGACTTGAGAATGGTCCAGGACGGACCGAAACGTCGTCGTCCCTTCACCTTTTAGTGTGTGGTCTGGTCAACACGCACCATTTGTTTATAACAAAATACAAACGCTGCTTAAAGTGAAATACTTAATATTTAACCAATATATAAAATACATGATTCCAAGGCATGATTGGTGCATACAACACCCCCCCAACAATAGGGGGAGGGGGGGGTTAACTACCCCCCTTGACAATGGGTAGTAGTGGGCGTAGTAACTACCCCCCCCCCACCAAATACACTCCAACAATGGAACAAACCAAACTGAGGACTCACCCGACCATGCTGCTTCTCCTTAAGGCTCTCTGATCTGTTCACCGGGGTGCCAGACTTTTTCTTCTGCTGCTGAAGACTGTGCTTGGTCGGGGGACTGTAGGTAAACAAAAGACTCACGTTACTTCCATTATACACCATATTCCTGTCGTCAACGCGATACATAAAATGTGCAGAAAGACAATACTAACATTAACAAAGCTCGCTTTGAGGCCTTAACATTACTAAGGTAACATAAATAAGCATTACTGTCACTATTATGCATTGTTAGTAAGGAAATCACCGGAGTAGGACGGTGGGATTGAACCAGCTAAAGATGATATAACTTGGGGGTCCACTCCTGGTGGATCCGGCCAGATCCCAGGTTATATAAACTTTAGCATGTCCTGGTCTATGGGTTAAGACGTGTGTCTCGTTATCAGGACGCTGGTTCGATTCCCGGACCTGCTTCAATGGTTTTCTCACAGATATATCACGTCACGTTGTCTGTGAGATCCCTGTGTATATGCACTACCAATATTACCACTACTATGCACTCGTTACAACCTAACTACAATGCTGTAAGTATTGCTAAAACAATTCTACGAAATATGCATTATTTATCAAACTGATGGTACATTAAAGAGAGAACTGTACTCCATACGCTTGCTGTACTGCATAGCTTCAGTCTTGCTGTATCACTAATGCCACAGCAGTTACAGCCTGGGGTCTACTGGGAAACTATAGTCTTATAGATACGTTTAATTTGTTGCCTTGTACCTGTGGATCATACAGGTAGTGAAGGCCGCGACCAGGGGTGACAAGGAGACGAGAGCAACAGGGCACCACAATCCCCAACTCGACTCCAGAGGGGAGTGCCAAGACCATATGTATTCAACTAGTTGTGTTTGCGGGGGTTGAGCTTTGCTCTTTCGGCCCGCCTCTCAACTGTCAATCAACTGTTTACTAACTATCCCCCCCCCACACCACACACACACACCCCAGGAAGCAGCCCGTGACAGCTGACTAACTCCCAGGGACCTATTTACTGCTAGGTAACTAGGGCATCCAGGGTTAAAGAAACTTTGCCCATTTGTTTCTGCCTGGTGCGGGAATTGAACCCGCGCCACAGAATTACGAGACCTGCGCGCTATCCACCAGGCTACCAGGCCCCCCCCCCCTATGTGTGCGTGTGTGTGTAATATTAAGAATTGTGTAACCCCACCTTCTACCCCACTCTACCCCCTCCCCAACCCCCAATTACCTGCATCCTAACCTCATTCCTCAATATAAACAAACCCCACACAATTGGTTACGGGCTCACCATAGCCCGTGCTACATGAACATTTCGTTCTGAGAAGCTAAATCTAACTCTACTACAACAACAACAACAACAACAACAACAGCCTGCACAATTACAATCACCCCCCCCCCCCGGGGCTCGCCAAGACGCTGTCTTCACACACTGAGACAAGTTGCTTCCATTTTGCCCCCCCCCCAATGTCCCTCCTCCGTCCCTCCGTCCCTCTGACGTCCCTCCGTCCTCTGACGTCCCTCCGTCCTCTGACGTCCCTCCGTCCTCTGACGTCCCTCCGTCCTCTGACGTCCCTCCGTCCCTTTGACGTCCCTCCGTCCCTCTGACGTCCCTCCGTCCCTCCGCCCTCTGACACAACCTGTCCCACCTATTAAACTCGTCTGCAGGAACCTCATTTCAGTGATTCACACGACGGAGTAAAAAAAAAAAGAGTCCTGAAAGACATACACGTGACCCCTACCGACACTATACACAATATAGTAGTAGTAGAAACAGTTGATTGACAGTTGAGAGGCGGGCCGAAAGAACAGAGCTCAACCGCCGCAAGCACAAGTAGGTGAATACATCCAATCCTTAACTGTAGCCTCTGGTCACCCAGCAGTGAATGGGTACCTGGTTGTTAAACAATTAATGATTTTGCGGGCCGTATTCCGGGGAAAATTAGGATTAAGGACTTTCCCGAAACGCTGTGTGTGCTAGTGGCTGTACAACACTGTAACAACTCTTGTATATATAAATAAATAAATAAATAAATAAATAAATAAATAAATAAATCAATAAATAAAAACATTAAATGTATATACCTGTCACCCATAGTCTTTTACAACACAAGTGGTTCAAGAACTGGACCCCAAGAGACTCTAAGCACAATTAGTGACTGTGGTGAGTCAGTTACATTATTTTTTTTTTTACCAAACCACACACTGAAAGGTGAAGGGACGACGACGTTTCGGTCCGTCCTGGACCATTCTCAAGTCGATTGTGAACATATGAGGAGCCGAGCGGACAGCACGCTGAACTGTGATCCTGTGGTCCCGGGTTCGATCCCGGACGCCGGCGAGAAACAATGGCCAGAGTTTCTTTCACCCTATGCCCCTGTTACCTAGCAGTAAAATAGGTACCTGGGTGTTAGTCAGCTGTCACGGGCTGCTTCCTGGGGGTGGAGGCCTGGTCGAGGACCGGGCCGCGGGGACACTAAAGCCCCAAAATCATCTCAAGATAACCTCAAGATATATGAGTCAGTTCAAACCGTTCTCGCAATTTCGTATAGTCAATATTGACTTATTAAATACGTGCATATGTGACATACTAAACATACTAGTTTACCTTGAAAAGCTTCATAGAAAACACCAACCTTCAAGCAAACAAGGTCGGTGTTTTCTATGAAGCTTTTCAAGATAAACTAGTATGTTTAGTATGTCACATATGCACATATTTAATAAGTCAATATTGACTGTAAGAAAGTGCGAGAACGGGTTGGTCAGTTACATATGGTTGACGTCACTACCGCAGCAGCCCCACACTCCTCCAATGAGCGGTGGAGGAAAGTTAACAATCCTGTACAACACTCAACCTACAATAAGTAAACTCTGGATATTTGTCTAAGATTTCTAGTGGCACATCATTATGAATAAAATACTTGAACGTTGAACAAATCCACAAGGGCCGTGACGAGGATTTGTTCATTTGATGCATCACGTTAGTGTGATCTCTGTGTGTGTACTTGAACGTTGCTTGAGCATTTGTAACAGAATTCTCTCTTAATTCTGAAATGTGTTCATCTTGAAGATGAATGTTTGTGATGCTTTCAAAAGCCCCACTTGGAGGCCTTCACGCAAAATCTCAATATATGGGCAAGACAGCATCTCTTTCAATACGTCTAACAATACATAAAACAAGTCTCTTCAAATATCACATTATTTGTTGACCAGACCACACACTAGAAATTGAAGGGACGACGACGTTTCGGTCCGTCCTGGACCATTCTCAAGTCGATTGCGAGACTTGAGAATGGTCCAGGACGGACCGAAACGTCGTCGTCCCTTCAATTTCTAGTGTGTGGTCTGGTCAACATACTTCAGCCACGTTATTGTGACTCATCGCCTGCATCACATTATTTCTACATGCCACCATCTCCTCAGAGAGCGCCTGACTAACACCACCGACATACTCAACACATACAACGAAGAGAAGGATCAAGATGACTGATTGATTGATTGATGAAGATTAAGCCACCCAAAAGGTGGCACGGGCACGAATAGCCCGTAAGTGGTGGCCCTTTTGAGCCATTACCAGTATCAAGAGCTGATACTGGAGATCTGTGGAGGTGCAACTGCACCCTGCGTGACGGAAGATGTCTCCCGTGAAGGATCAGGACATAACTGAAGCACTACATATCAAATACACTCATTCAAATCGACAACCAGCTTACACTTAAATCCGGCCGTTTTCCCGTTTTCTACAAGACCAAGACAGAACTGCCAGCGACCACCACCTTTTCTCCCTCAGTCGACCAATAGGAATGAAGAGTAAGATTGCCTAGTACTGTCAAGTATTCATCACCTCTCCTCATCATGCACGGTACTATCAAACCTGCTAATTTGTATTCAATTCCCCTCTACCTCTGATGATGTTGACAGGTTCGGTTAAACGAGTCCATTGCTGTTATGTTTCAGGCCACATAAAATTCAACAGATGAACTTTGGAGAGTTCATTTTCTCAACTACACAAAGTGAATTAGAATCTAAGAAATGTGGAAGATTATTGGTAGAATCATTGATCTAACCACGTCATATTCAATAAAACACACACACACACACACACACACACGTGCGTGCGTGTGTGTGTTTCTTGGCTCCTTGAAGCTGCCTTCCGTTAAGAGGTTCATCAATAACTTTCTTACAAAAGAACCCTACTGGAACTGCTTATCAAGGGCACGTGCACGACTGGTCCTGGTGCTCTCATTGTGCCACCACTCTCACCAGTCTCCTCCCAGTATCACCACCTCCACACACCAACCATCTCATCAACCTCCACACACCAACCATCTCATCAACCTCCACACACCAACCATCTCATCAACCTCCACACACCAACCATCTCATCAACCTCCACACACCAACCATCTCATCAACCTCCACACACCAACCATCTCTTCAACCTCCATACACCAACCATCTCTTCAACCTCCACCCACCAACCATGTCATCAACCTCCACCCACCAACCATGTCATCAACCTCTATCCACCAACCATGTCATCAACCTCCCTACATGCGCCATCATTACCATGATGCCTCCTGTAGTGACACCAGCCCCCATACGCTTACACCATACTGACACCATCCTCATACTGCACAATAGTGACACGATCCACAGTATGCTGCATCATCCACACACCATCAACACAGCCCAAGGCAGCATAGTGACACCAGCATCTACAGTACGAGTCAATATGGAGGACTGACTGCCGCAGCTGCCCCAAGGTTTAACAGCTACAACGGTGATACCTCGTCCTCTTCAAGTAATAACTTGACCCTCCAACACTGGGAAGCACGTGGTGTGTGGGTTGTGCAGCGTGCGGGTAGTGCAGTGTGTGGGTAGTGCAGCGTGCGGGTAGTGCCCACGGTGACAATCAGGGATCAGGTGCAGTGTACAAGGAGTTACAGTTCCGGGTGAGATAGAGGCACTGTTCACCTCCAAGACGGTCCACCAGCAGGTGAAATATGCTCTAGATATGATATTTTTATTTAACAGATTAATTTAATTATGAAACATTTGACGAAAAGCAGCTGGGCACCAGCC